AGACTGTGTGCTTTACTGTGTAAATTCTGGATTTTTCTGTTAGCCTTCGTCTGACGTCATCTGCCATTTGGGACCGGGACTGAACTTCAGACTTTGTTTAGAACTTTTTACAGGACTTGAGTTTTATCTTTGCAAACAATTTTGATAGTTTCCGTAAATCGTAGTCTTGTTTAAGATATTCACATTATTTCATGTTTTCTAGAAAAATAAATTATTTTTGTTACAATTTACAAAGCTTGTCTTCACTCTTTGTTACCTTGAACAAGCCGATACGTAACTATATGTATGTATGGATAGATGGATGGGTGGGTGAGTGGATGGGTATGGGGATGTCATCACATCATCACTCCTAACTAAATGTTCTAGTTTAAGTGAATTCAGTTGCATAAATATAAGGGTAACATTTGCTCACACACACACACACACACACACACATTACTTGATTTTTATTCAAGCAAAACTGAATCTATATCCATATCAATAAAATCTCTAAAACAAACATGGCTCAGATTTCTTTTTAAATGGTACGGTTTTTATGGACGTACCCTTGACCAGTACATAAACAAGAAATTACTACAAAATTACGCAGAAGATTGGTTATTGTCATGGCCGTAGATGTGGTCATGGGCCCTGGGGAAAGAAATAACCGGGCCTCTCCTAGTGATTTCCGGTCGCCCTTCGCCCCCTTCCTCCTCCCTGTATGCCCTTGGTGTTCAAACTTGATTAAATATAATAGAGCTTCTTTATTTTATATTGAGAATACCGTCTTTAGAGTGTCTCGACTAAGTACATCCGATTTCATAGTGTCTCGACTAAGTACATCCCATTTCAAAGTGTCGAATAAGTACATCTCATTTCAAAAAGTTAAAATACAAAAAGACACATAACCCAATAGACTTAATACTGTAGAGTTGTTTGTGGGTAACTGAATATTCATCTTATACTGGAATTCTGGAGGAGACGAAATGTAAAATTCTTTCAGTAAATCGCTGCTAACGCAGAATAAGCCATTTTATAAATGTACACGGTCTTGGATACATTCAGACTTAGGTTCCACAAAGCAGATATGTAGTAGACAACTTCTAAATACAAAAATAAACCCAAAAAACTTATCTTGCAATGAATGGAGATTAATGCACTCTAACAGAATGACAACTGTTAATGACACTTAACGACTTTGGTAACATTTCTATTTTGACAGCCGTTGGAACATGCATTAAGTACTACACACATCGTAAGGTCAGTTAATTTGATTTTTATTATGAAAAATAATCAAATTTAATGAAATTATAAATGTAAATTCTTCCAGTAAAAGAAATGGAAGGGAAGTCCTATTTTAGACAATTTCAGTAAGTAACTAGGATGATTTCCATAACATCCAGTGACACTGAAGAAATCCAGTTTGGTCTTTCTGGAATCGTGGTACTAATTTGGTTCCCATAGTAAACCTATGCAAATACCATATTAAAAATTCAATAACTTAAGCTGTTGCGTGCTCATGACCAAACTTACATTCTTAGTATATATGAAACCTGGATGTCAGCTTCTATGCAGAGGAAAGGATATGAGCCGCATCATTTTCTGGACATGCATATGTTTGAAACATGTGCTTTCAATTCCGCACCAAATAGTCCGGTGCTAATTTTAGTATTGAGTGTTCCAAACTCAAAGTCTATTAAAGGACTGACATTCCATCAATAAAACAATGTCTATTTTTGTTCACTTTCAACTTGGATAAGGTCTCAAAAGATTCTTTTTCCTAAAATATAACTTACATTATTAACCAATCCTGGTCAGCCAAACAAGTATATACTCTATTTAATGTTCACCCATTTTTAGGCTGGTTCCCATTTTTCAATACAATTTGTACCGTGTGTCCTTCTCGACTGAAGAGTGCGTGCCACAGTGGTTTATTTATGTGAGATACACTGTGACGGTTAAAATACAAAACTCTCACTGAAGATGATCAAAGGGGACAAATAATAAAGGATTCCAGTCTAAATGGAACAAAGTAATCTCAGATTGAAGTTTTCATTTTGTCACTGAATTGCAACTTTAACATGTAGACATGCAATGAAGTCACAATCTTCAGGATAATTTTAAAGCCATTTACATTAAATTATTTTTGAAAGTTGGCAGTTTTAAATGTTGAGTATGGATATAACGTTTGTGCTCAAATTGTTTGTACAGCTCTGTTTGTAACGTTTCCAAACCCATAACAAACCTCCTTGATGTCTCAATTTTGTCTGAACAAGATGTTGAAAGATACATTATCATTGCAGATTATTGATGAAGAAACAGCGATTACTTTATTTATAAGCAAGCTTGAAAAATGCGTGATGTGGTAGTGCCGTCTTAACAACACTGTAGACTATAGACAAAGCAATGCGCTAGAGCCCCCTGCCAACCCTACTATTCATTAAACATTTGGGCAGCATGAACCCCTAGAAGCGTGAGGCCCTGGGCAACTGCCCAGTGTACCCATGCCTTGAGACGGCACTGTATTTTTTATAGGTGGTTTCTCTGAAAAGTATTCAGATTCGAAATGCAAAAATGGAAACAAAGAAACAAACTGCATTTTCTCTAAAAGATATAAACACTGTCAATTAAAAAAGGATACATGATTCATCTTAAGACCTGCACATGTTGCCAGGTAGTTTGGTTGCAAACTAGAATTTAAAAATAACATGGTTTTCTAGAGGCAAAAATCAAGAATGCTCTTTTGCTAAGATGACCTGATACGCTCTTTTGCTGAGTTGATCTGAATGAAATTTTGTAAGTGCTTAAAGGATTACCTTTTATATTGGCACTCTGCAGCGAATGTAGCGGTACAGATAAAATATATCTAGCTTTAGAGAGTCTATCGTGCCACATTAACTGAGTATCGTAGCTGCGAACGTCAATGCAGCATTTCATCTATTTCCTAATATAATGAGATCCCACAGGCAAAATCTTTTCATTTTCTCAGAAAATGTGACTGATTTTAACAAAGCTGATATATCTAAAGCATCATTAAGACAATTCCATCTCCTGCTATTTATGTTTTTGTCTTAGAATTCAATGCGCGAGGGAGATTTGGAGGAATGAAAGTAATTATTTTTGACCGCTTCCATTTTTCAATCGATTCAGCACTTTTTAAGCGCTTGTTTTCACAATGATTAAATTAATTTCTCAGATCCTTTTTAAGGGTTTTGTGGAAATAAAAAAATCACTTTTGGTTATTTGTGGAAATACGAAAGCAGTGTTGGCTGTTTGAGGAACGTCTTTTTTCAAATAAGTAAAATAACGTTTTTGTTGTCACTGGTGGGAATAGAAATAAAATCTATTTTATTCTATTGAAAATCATTTTGTAATCTTATAGATCTTCTGTATTTCATTAGTATAATAATTACATCAAAAATTATAGATTTGCCATTACATTCTGTATGGGCAACTCCATTCATCCAGGCCAGTCTTGGTCGGTTTCCTGGGTTTATCCTTGTGTAAACACCTAACTGTCATTTCATCGGCAAGATATATCCAATAATGAGTTACAGGCGCAATTGAAACCATAAAATATATTTTGGATGAAGCCCAACACATTCTTAACTGCTATCATACGAACGGCAACCAATTTCCTGTATGCGACGAAACTGCAACTTATGTGGCCGTGTTTCTAGATATCACAGAGCATCTATTTCTACTGTATCGAGTGCCTTTGATGCTTTGACTTTGAAACGTATTACTCGTAATATATTCTCATCGTCGGCGCTTTCTTTTTCTGTTATATATCACTTTTTATGTAGATTAAATGGGAGTACTTGAACCAACTATTACACTACGACCAGCAACCTGAAAACGATATAATTTTTCAAGATCACGACTGAACATTCATATTCTTTTCAATGTCAAACAGATAATGTAAGTTAAATAAGTATCCAATCTATTCAAATCTACTTTCTTTCGGAAATTTAACGGCTCTTGCTGGGATAACAGTCATAGGTGCAACTTAATCAGCACTGGTTCGTGCTTGTTATAAATTATCAGCAGAGATAATTGCCTCGGAGTGTGCCCCGTATCAATGTTACTCTTCTGGCAAATCTTGTAATCACAATGATTTATTAAAAAACTCTCGAATCTTTGGGACATGAAGTTGATTTGAATAGTTGATCTGCAACCGTGGTACACGAGTAGATATTCTAAATGATGGGAGGCTATACAAAGAAAGAGACAGAAAAGTAAATGGTTTTAATATTTGAAATTCTAAAAGTTTCGTATGTCTCAATAGAAACCAAATTTCCATTAGTTTTCATAATGTATATACGGTGTCTTCAATTAAAAATGTTTGAGCATTTGTTTTTAGAGGAAATTAAATTTATTGCTAGATTTATGCATCGAAAACCTTCCAATGTCGGCGTTTAATATTATGCATTTTGGGTAAAGCAAAAAGTTTATATAAAGTGATTTAATGTCTTTGCCAAATTTTATGGAACAAACATCTTCAATTTCATGACATTCTCGTCAGCAAATGACACATTTGAAACAGACTAAAATTATATGACCGTAACTTCTTACTATGTTTAAAAATGTACGTATAATGATTAATTTGTTTCATACATCCACATTTATTATTTTTGCAAGAACAATTTATAGCTATAGATATGGGGATGAAAACAGGTCTCACAGCAGTAATATGACAAATATGGATTCCATTAGTAAACCAGCAATCAAATACATTTAAATAAAATTCACATACTAAAATTATTGTTCTTAGTCATAGAATAAGTGAGTGTGTGTGATTTGGAATTTTAACGTAGGTTTAAACAATTTTTCAGTCATATGGCTACGATGTCTGCAGTGTGGCAGTCTATAGTGATGTCTAGCACTGATGCATCATGCCACAGACATGAAGCATGATTGCCCACCCAGTCACATTATTCTGACACCAGGCCGACACTAACCTCTTGATGCTGAGCGCCGAGCGAGGCAGCTGTTAGTACCATTTTTGTAAGTCTTTGCTATGACTCAACCAAGGATCGAACCCACGACCTCCAGCATCCGAGGCGGACGTTCTAACCACTATGCCACTGGAGTGGTTAGTCATAGAACGCAATTTAATAATTACTTAATTCACAATTACTTATTTTATTACCTTTTCTCGTGTGCAAAACATAAATTTAGAAGATGCGTTTAAGATTATTTATCAGTTTTAACAGCTTATAGGAATTATGGCAGATTCATCAAGCTTTAAAACTGAAAATTTGCGAGAATATACACAGGAAGTTCACTAATGATAGCTGCCGTTTCCGGTGAACATGGTGCTGTAAGCTATCTTCTTACAAGTGGGTTAAGGTATTATTGTGAATGCGAAATAACGTTTCCTAGAGTTTGTTTTCTTTACAGTTACATGGTTCAAATTATACACTGGAAACTTTTGAAATGCAACAGATTCCTGGGTCTTCGCCAAAAGAGCCTCTATTATGGGTTCCATCGAACATGCCTACCTGTTCAACCAGGCCCGCCGACAATTTCTGAATCCGCCCAGTTCAAGTTTCATTCTTTAAGTCCACGGACTAATTTCGCACGAGTACCACACATAGCGTGATTTGTACGTATAAATACGAATGCTGCTATCAATTTGCCTGTGGTAAAACCTAATGAATCGGGAATTCAATATTGATTATAAAATGACTCATTGGAAGCACATTAAGGAGTGAACATCGGCGGACGTCAAAAAAATTATATCAATTATTATTCAGAGTTAAATTCAAAACAGATTTTGGAAACATCCAATGTTCCAAGATATATTTTTAGTGCTGAGTCCAATCGCGAGTCAAATGGGTAGTGTTTTTCCTTTCAGACGGCAACTTGACGTCAAAAAATATGGTTTTTAGAAATCGAGACACAAGTAAAGTCGTTGCAAAACTGCAGTAACAGCTGTAAAATCTATTCTTTAAAAAATATTGTAGAAACTGTCATGGAATAAATGGAAAATCTGAAATCGGTTTGGTGAATTGTATAAGTTTGTTGAATGAGAACTGCTTAATTTATGGATTTGGAAATATGATAATTTGGTTCATGACAATGTGCATATTTGCATATCTATCGAAAGAAAACTGGTCAAACGATATAGGATACATCTGAACTTCATAAACATGTGACATACACGAGTCTACAGCAGCAGTGTCATAACACAACACAGCTATCTATCTCCGTTACAGTATCGTGATCCGATGTTTAAATTGCTCTTTGAGCCTATCTAAAAATTCATCCAATCTAAGTCAATTGATAATCACTTTTAAGAAAACCTAATATAAATAAGAACCAGTCTGTGTTATTGCGCTATTACCGTCAGTTGTATTAAAACCATAATATAGTAGAATCAATATTTTTTATATGCCTTTCAGCATAATGTTTTTATGTTCCTAATATAGCATTGTGAAAACGTACAGGCAGTTGTTTTATAGCATTCCTTTACTATTTCTTTCATTGATTCTGAAACAGATAAGTGAATTATGGACAAGTTTAATTAAAAACAAAACAATACATCGTTTCAAACCACTTTGCATATTTGCCTTTCTGTGTTAAAATATTGTTTCATTTAATTATAGTCTTATAATTATTTATGGAGCATATCTCAAAATTATTCACATTCTTTAGTTACCAGCAGTAATATAATCCTACAGTTGATCTTTGATTTACTGAATCAATACTGCTTTAATGCTTTGTTAATAATTGTTGCTGATTCAATACTGCTTTAATTCTTCACTTTTAATTAGTGTCACTTAATCAATATTGTTATAATATTTCAGTTTTACAAGTTTGTTTTTTCTTTTATTTCTGCCATTGGTTGTCTTTAAAGACATTCCTAATATGAATAAATTCCCGTATACATTTATTCAACATGTTACTTTGAGCTTTATTTAACATAATGAAATACATGACGAAAGATGTATCCGTTTTACAATACCATTTGCTCAGTCTTCGGCAGTTAATAAATAAAAGGTATTATTTATCTTAAGAGATACTATAAGAGTGCATTTCGATGCATGAAATAAACTGAAGCTTTATTCCTGGACATGTAAAGGTCAAAGGTCATGCTTATAACCTGAATCTGTGAGTTCTTTAACTTTACAACAAAATTTTCTTGGAAAAGGAACACTGCATCGACGTTTGACATGAAATGGAGCGAATGAATTTAGTATAGATGTTCTTTTCTGTTGATAACTGATGAAAGCAACTTTTATTTTTTTACCTTTGAATATATTATTGAAACAAATACTTTATTCCAAATATAAGACCTTATGCAGGTTGGGGAAAGGGCCATATGGCCAGGACCTCAAAATGAGAAATCCAAAAAAAATTCAATCTATTTTTCTTATGAGCTAGAAAGGAAAGAAGCAGTCCACTAATAAGTTCAGATGCAGCTCACAGCCTAGGGATTTGATCATTGATAATAAAGATGTCAGTACCGCTGCCCTAATTAACAGATATTTACTTGAAATTAAAACTACTATTAATTTATTAGTGTGCAGGGATGTATTAACTGGCTTAGTTTCTGACATTTTATCCCAGCTGTTTGAGAAACTTAAAGTCGAACTCATGAAAGAAGTGGGCACACAAATGGTAAATGAAACAAGCGAGTTGGATGATAAAATTGAATCATTGAACGTAACCAGTTATGAGAATAAGTAGAGAAATCAAGGAAATCGAAAGCTAAAGGAAGAAATACAAGAAAATAAAGATCGCCCCAAGGAAGCTACGAAAATCCCAAACCTCAATGATCAATACGCAAGAAAAAATATCACCTTGATTTTGAACATTCCTGAATACAAAAAGACGAAAGTCAGAGCAATATTTCCAGAGCTGGTGATGAACTAACAGGTCATGACTTAGATCAGAGGGATGCATTGGATTCCTGGCAATGCAGAATGTTGATGATTCTTTTCTATTATTACATGGTTTTCATTTGCTTTGGAATATAACCATGCAGGTTTGAAATAACTTTACATTGTTTTCCGGTCTGTACTGAAATTTTTTTAAATCAAAAGTTAATTGGATTGGAAATTTGTACTAAACATAGGTCCGGAAATTGATATTAACTGGTCTACGATCTGTTTTAAATTAATAGGAGTACTTCTCTTTCATCTTGGAGGATATGGTAGAACATAATTATTCAACGAAGACGTAAAGAAACTATTTGGCTGGTGGAGCAGAAGAAAGGTATCCCTTTTTCAAAAACGTACTTTGACAACATTCTTGATTTTATCTAAACGGAGTCATATTTTTGCCTCTCTGCAAAATCCTCCATGCCTTGTAAACAAGGAATGAATATATTGTTTTTTCAGTTATTTAGGGAGATGTTAAATTGGACATTCCTATAGATTATTTTTAATGAGGTGGAATTCGATGTGGTTCATTTGAACTCATTTAAAACGTATTTATATTATGTATCTTTTACAAAACACAGACGGTAAAAAGAAAAAACTGATTGTTGAAGAAATATTTAGAAAATTTGGAGTTACACTCCTCTTTAAAATAGGAAAAATCTGAATTGAAATAAACTTGAAATCAATTTAAATATTCTATGCCGTTATGTTATTCATGTTTTTTGATAACGGAAAAATTAAATATCTGCTGTAGATGTGTTTGGGGGGATTTGGATTTTTAACGTAGCTTTAACAATTGTTTAGTCATATCGCTACGAAATCTGCAGTGTGGCAGTTTTTATTGATGTCGTGCACTGGGACATCATGTTGCAAATATGTACCATGATGTCCCACCCAGATACCAGACCTAACCAATTCTAGCCCTAACCTCTTAATGTTGAGCGCCTAACGAGGCAGCTGTTTGTCAAATATGTATTAGTCCTTGGTATGTCTCGATCCGAGTTCGAGCCCTATTGCCCATGAATACTTTTCTTAAAATATTCTTAATTTATTTAATATACATAGTTGTAAATCACGCATTAAGTGGTAAACAAAGTGTTGTACTTATTCAGCATCGTTTTGAAACACAACATTCTCTATTAAGTTTGGATGAAAATTAAACCAGAAACTTTATCTCATCCAGGACTTGGCATCTATATAAACAATATATGTGAAATGGAAAAAAGACAAACAAAGTATATTTGAAAGAAGAGGTTTCATTTAATTATATACAAAAATTATTTTTTAAAACTATTTCTTCACAAAACGAATGCTGATGTAGCCCCAGTTCTTCGAGCACCCGTCTTGGATGCGTGAGGTCGTGGGTTCAAACCCAGCTGAATAATACCAAATACTTATATATAAAGTTACCATCAGGTGCCTTGGCGTTCATTTCTTACATACCAGTGGGTTGTTTTAATGATTTATTTACGTGATATTGATAAATTTACAATTTGTAAGACGTGAATAGAATAAATTAAGTTCTTATTTTATGAATTATCAGTTACTGAATATTTTTGGAAAGGATCCAAACTTACGATCCAAATGTTAAAATTACTCAGACATATTTTTTTTGTTGTTTTTTTTAGGAAATAATAACTTTGATGATCTTATTAACTTTTTTATTGTGCTTAAAATATTAAATATCACCTAATGTAGAAAATATGTTTCATCGTATTAAACGCTCAAAAAATATGCGGTCGAAGTGAAAAAAAGATTAATCAGTTCAAGAAAACCTGTACCATTTTGTTTGCTAACTTTAGGTATGTTTTTTGTTGCTTAGATGTTTGATATTTGCATTACATAAATGTATGTCTATGTGTGCATTAGTGTGTTTTGGTGTCAAATTAAGGGAACGTATGTAAGAAACTGGATGCAAAACCTTTAAAGTTATCGCCCCATACACCATTCAGTTTAATGATATAGGTGAACATGTTCATTCCTCGCAGTTTATTCTTAATAAAATAATTTTTAAAACTACTCCTTAAACCACCCTGAGACAGTCCAGAACTCATCGATTGGCTTTAGATCACGGTACTAAACACGCAAATCCAGTTTTTGGTACTTGTAGCTCCAAAAATGTTTAATTCTAAATTTAGTCAGTGCCAAAAAGTTATTTATTATGATTAGTGAGTTCCGAACGCACCCATAATTTAAGCATCGCAGTGCACACG